ATGCTAGTATATTTTTGTGGCTCATAAATCTGCAAAGATGACAGATATAACAGGCAAATAGTGCTGATCTCTGTCAAGTTGTTACTGGGTCATCATTGTGCATGTTACAGAAAAGGATGTTTTTTACTATGGGTGTTGGGGATCCAAATAGCAATTTAACCTACATGAGGACTAAGCAGCACTGGGAAACTGCTGCTAATACACAAGTGTGTAATAGAAGGAGTCATATAGATACATAGAGGGTATGTTGTGCTGTCGAAAGCACTTTCTTTAAAAATCCTAATCAAAACCATAATTGGATTTTTACATTATTGTTAAAATAAAGCTATAGATGAGGGAAGAGGTTCTGCAATGAGAGTGAACTTCCTCTTCATGAATGTTTAGCTTTGATACAGAATTCAGCAGTGTAAGGAGAAAATTCAAAAGAACTCAGGTGAGTGGAGAGTCCAAGCTGCGCATTGGGAGCCAGATTCCTGTCTCCTGAGGAAATGGGGGATATTTGCAAATAAAACTAGTTTAGCCATAGTTTGTGTAGGTGAGCAAGTAGAGCTGTGGACTGGAGTCACATTGAGCACGGAGGGGTTGATTTTGTACTTTCTTGTAGTCTTTTGACTGGGAGAAAAATCAGAGAGCATTAAAAACTACAGAAATCCTAGTATGTTGTTAGGTTACAGCGTATATCATGATTGTAGCCGTCCTTCCCATGGGAACGCGTTTGGTTAAAAACTAGAATCCTCCCAGTGCACATGTGAAATTGTTTTCATCTCCCCCAAACGAAATGTAGTGGTTTACACTTTTGGTAAAGAGGGGGTCTTATAAGCAAACCTGGGGCGTGCAACAGCAACACAAGAGTTAAGAGCAGCAGCACCTTAGAATCCATTTAATAATGAAGGGCTGGTTTAATTGGGTTGGTTGCTAGGGAATGGATCCAGCACCGTGGATTTCCATGTATTTAAACGCTGGGCAAACGGCACACCTAAGTCCACTCAAATAATACACCTGGTGCTGGCCTTGCGCAGAGCAGGTGTGAGGAGCTTTTTGCCAGCCCGTTTCCCTTCCCCGCGCGGTTCCCTGGCTGAGGCCCTGCTCCGTCGTAGCTGCTCGGCGAGTCCGACTTGCCTGGATTTACCTTTGGGTGATGGGAGGGCTGCAGCAGGCCGATCTCCTAAGATTCGGTTAACGCAAACGTGACTTTCATACTCGAAATGCTTACGTACTTGGTAAAGGAATTAGCTTGTTAAATGCTTCTACTTTTCTACCCCAGCAAGGGTCAGATTCTGCTCTGATAGTGTTGGATTAATATAATTAACTAAAGTTGCGCTCAGTTAACACTCGGTACAGTTGTGTTAGGGAACGTAGGAAATATTTCTTGATTATCTGTAAATTTGTAGATCTGATGTATCCGTATCTGCAAGGTTGGAGGGCTGAGGGGGGTGTAGGCTGTGGTTACTTGCACTGTGCCTGTTACATCTGTGCCAAGTAAAGCTAATCAATAGCATGTTAAAAAAGACCATCTGGGGGTAGAGCTGACACCAGCCGTCCCTGCGCATCCGCAGCAGAGCTGACAATAGTGACAGAGGGTGAGAGTAAAAAGAAAGTCTTTCCCTGGTGAAAATGCTACTTGGGAATTAAATTTAGCTACATTGCTTTATAAACAAAAGAAAGGTAGTAAAATCGGGTTTTATCTCATCAGTGTTTTAAATGTGAGTTAGTCTTAATGCCCTGTGTTGCTGCACCGGAGAGCTGAGTTTGTCTCTGTTCTCCTGGCCCAGGCTAGCAGGAGTTAGGAACAAAAAGAGGCAGCTGTATCTAATTTAGACAGTGAAGGGAGTCGGGGACTCGTTAAACTCAACCGTAAACTATGGAAAATAAGAGGACTAGACTTTCTCTAAAGGAAACTGCTGTAGGGTTTTGTAGGCTTAATAAAGCTTGGCTGGATGCCCCAGCAGAAGAGCATTTCATAAATTTCTGATAGCACTTGCCTAAATATGAAACGGGAGTGACCAGACTTGTCAAGTTTATATACGTAAGCTGGAAGAAAATAAGAGGCGCGCCGAGCTCCCCCGGGAGCCGCTGCACGTGAGGCATCGCCAGCCCGGGAGGCCGGGGCCGTCCGCACCGCTCGGATCAGCGCGGCGAGGGGAGGCGAAGGCCATCGGGGCACTGCCGGGGAGCTCTGCTGGCCTCCCTCGAGCCACACGTTACACTTCTCAGCAGAGATCGGGAAGAATAGTTGAGAGACCGACCTCATGTCGTATTTTCTTCCTGAAGTTCACCAAAGATTTTTTTTAAAAAAATCGGTCTACATTTGACCGCTGGCAGCCTATGCAAAGGGCTCTCCTGCCATTTTGAGAGCTATCTAAAGCTGGCTTTTAGATTTCACTGCAAAATATGCTGTTAGTAGTGCCCTATCTATCTTACGTGAAAACACATTACAAAAATAGGTTATTTTCTAAAATTGCTTCAGTTTTTCTTACCTAGTCATTGGTACGAGTTTTGCACATAATTATATGCTTCAAGCTGCTTCCCAGCAGTACTTACCCTGATAATAATAGGAAGGTAACGAGTCAGATTAGCTGGGAGGTCTGCAGTGAGGAGGGGGCTGAAGAGCAGATAACAGGTTTGGTAGAAGATGCCTGTTGCATCTGACATGAAATTCTCTCTTCCACCCACCATATCCTCTCGGGGTAACTGTAATTCTTCTAACCATAAATCACAAGTGTGGACAAAATAGCAGGGGGAGAGCAGTCTGTACCTGCCCACCTGTGTTAAGTGTTTTAGTGATAGAGAAGCAGCGCTCTGAGCTGGGGGCTGTGTTGACAGTGGGCACAGTGGAGCAGGGAGAGAGGAAACTACCCGAGAAAGGCTGGGGGAAGAGGGGCAGTACAGCCAGGATGTTTCCTGCGAGCTGTTGTTGAAAAGAAGGGAGGAAAATGTGAGGAAGGCCGTTGTATTCACAATACTTTTCACTGAATATAGGTATGATCGCATATAGCAAGAAGGCATAGCCTTCTAAAAGCAGCAAGTCAGTAAAATGCTGTTATTTAGGGAAGCAGGTAGTATGCAGCAGGAAGAAATAGCCTTTAGGCCTTCAGAAAAATGCACGTGTGTAATGAAAACCTGTGTTATCTGTGTAGTAATGTTTGTTTGCTCGTTTATGGAAATACCTACTTGGTCATTTCTGAAAAGCAGGAACCATTAATTTGATAATGTTTGTTTGCTTGTTTATGGAAATACCTACTTGGTCACTACTTACTTTCTGAAAAGCAGGAACCATTAATTTGGGACTGCTCCTCCAGAGCTGGTGTTCAGGACTGTAGGAATATCTGCCTGCTAATCTGCCTTTTTTTTCTCTCTTTCTTTTTTTCCCTCTTTTGAAACAGACCCAGGTCTGCCTCTCAACTCTCAAGCTGCTTTTGACTACTCCAGATAGGAGCAACACGCTGAGTCTGACATGATCCTTCCCAGTTGTCCTGCTGCAGATGGGATTGTGACTACGAGGGACGAGCGCTGACACGACTCCTTGGTGCTCCTTCTGATACAGCCTGGCAAGTCTCTGAGCAGCAGCAGAGCAACTGAAGTTGTAACTATTGTTTTTTCATTTTTCCTTCTTTTCCTATCCACTAGGATAAGTGCTAAATCCTCTGCAAGGAATCATTTCTAGAAAGAAAGTTAATTCTACCCACCTATGAAATTTATTGAGGAAACTCGTTAGAAAGATTTTTCTTTTCCTCAAAACTCTTATTAGTGTGTATTTTTGGAAAATAGCCTTAATAAATATTGCATCATGCTACAGTGATGTATCTGTTGACTTACATAAAAATTCAGTGTATTTTTTTAAAATAAGCTGAGTGTAATTTTTCAGGCCAGTGGTTTTGCTCTTGCAGAAGAACATTCTTAATCAAAGTTTATCTCAAAGAACAGACACTGACAGAGATGAAGTAATATTGTGGCTATGGAATAAACTGCTGGAGGAAAAACTGTTTTCCCAAGTGGCTCTAGGAACAGAATAGCCAGTGTATTTCTTTGGATAAAACACTGTGCTAGCTTCTTTCTGCTGAGGCATTTCTGGTCTGTACGAAAAGCAGATAGTCTCCCTTGTGTCATTTTTAATTGATTTCCAGTGCATTACAAGAGATCATTGGCACCAGTCCAGGAAAAGGCAGGCGGCGAGTAGGGAATTCATCAAAAGCTGGCTCATTGATCACTGGATCTGATGAAATAATTAGCAGTTGATATTTTCAATATGATTTCATACTGGTATTTGGAATTCTGAAAGCAAGAGAGAATCTTTTTATATCAGAAAATCATCAACCAAACTAAGATGTCAAAAAAGCTTTAGTATGTTTATTTGTTTTTAGGGACCGTCTTGTAGGGATGGCTAGGAATTTTTTTATTGACCCTTAAAAGGAGCAGGATCAGTGTGTTGTGCTCTGTTTTGAAAATGAATCAATTTTGCAGCATTTTATTTATGATGGAGAGAAGTCTTAGGTAGGGCAAAAAAAAATCATTGCTTCCATTCCCCAAAGTAACTGAAAAAAAAATGGAAACCGATAGGTATTGTAGAAAGTTATCACAATATCATCAGAGCTGTAGTGGACTTCAAACACTGTCATCCCATAGTTCCAAGACTTAGGCAGCCTGTTGCACTATAATGAAATCTGCAAGAGAAAACAGGTCTAATCAGGTCTGAAAGAGCCTTCTAGTTGAAGATCCTTTATGAATCCTCCATTAATGTATGTTGTGAACTCAGTAAGTTTTGCCATAGAACCATTTTAAAATGTAGATAGCCATCTTTTTCTCTCCAAGATCTCTATGTAATACAACAGCAAACAAAACTGTCAACTCAAAGTACCCCAGAAACTCAAGGAGGAAGGTTGGTTTCTGGATGTATCAAAGCAAAAATTCTGATCTACTAAATACTTCAACCTATTGGTAAATTTCAGAGTAAAAATTTAATGGGGGAAACAAATACTGTTTTTGCTTTCCCATGTAGGAGCCCTGCAAGCAAAAAAGAAATAGAAGACGTTAACCCACCTCGTTCAGAGCAAACACTAAATCAGCACAATATGGCACAGCATAGCATTGTCCTTGGAATATTCATGATGACTGTTTTAGCACTGCTGCACGGAAGTTCAGCTTTCCTATTGAATCAGCGTCTGAAGGGAAGATTCCAGAGAGACCGTAGAAACATCCGTCCAAACATCATCCTTGTTCTTACTGATGATCAAGATGTAGAACTTGGTAAGAGCCTAAGATAAAGAGAATTTTAGCTAATGAGTATGGGCCTGCTTTTCTTTGGAACTAGGTTTTGTTTTCAAACTATTTTTTTTATTTAAGTGTGAAATATGATAGAAAAAAACCTTACATTTAGGTGGAAAATACTTCCTAATGGCATGCAATTTGAGGATAGCAAATGAGTAGTTTCAACTTAAAATGTCAAACTTCCCGTTTCTGTGGAAATGTGGGATTCCTGCCTATCTGTGTTCAGCTCCACGCCTAAACTGCTTCTGGCAATTGCCCGTATAACCTGGGAAGCTGCATGCCAAAGCAATAGGTTTAAATTCATAACTGATTATTACACCATATAATTACCCAAATTCTTGTATAATTGCAGACATTCTTTGCAATTACAGTTTTAATTTTAATTACTTAAATGATACCTAACATGTACATACTATTCTTGGTATTGTCCATTTAGATGTGTAGTTGATTATTGACCAAAATCACTTAGTATGCAAAGAGTCTACTGTCTTGCTCAACAATATGTTAATTATTGAGGAAAAGAGATGACGATTAAACACATACTTTGCCTAATTCTTTGGAATACTGAATTAAGAGTTTGGGTTTTGTTTTGTTTCCCAAACAATCCTATAATTGCCAAATATTACCTATTTTGTCTTAATCACTTTTCCTAGATACAGTTTAATATTAATAATTTTGCATTATAAATACACTTTTAAATGGGTATAAAGCTGGATTAATCTGAAAGGTAAGAGCTCTTATATGTGTGGCTTGCTTCTTTTGATAATTACTACATCAAATTTGTACCATAGAAGGAAAAAATCAGCAAACAAATATTGTAGAAGAAATGGATGAAAATACTAGAGCTAACTAATTTTTATTATGTACACACACTCTTCTAAATGAGAGGTTTATCATAGCAGCATGGCAGTATTCTCACAGGTGCTTCCTTTTGATCAGTGTTACTGCTTGTCTGCTATACTGCAGATTTTGCATTTTTTTTTTCCAGAGAGATATCTTGTTATGGAAGTAAATGCACAAATACAAATTAGTTCAAATGAGCAAGGTTCTTTGGTTTACTTACTATTTTTCAACTAAATTATTATTTTGGTCAAGAAAGACAAAATACAAAAAATATGGCTTCAATAATGTATATTAAAAAAAAATCTAAGCGCTTTATCTTGCAGTCTCGGAAGGTGGTCCTAAAAAATTTATCATTTTCTACTTTGTGCTAGCCTGCTTGTTTCTGATGCAATTGTTAAAGTCCTCTGGGCAGTGTATTTCTCTTCTCTGATAATCTGATGCTTTCCAATTTCAAGCATAGTGGGCATGTGTCCACTCAAATTAAGATCTAGCTGAAGAAAATCCATTTGATGAAGCTGAGATTTCATATTCCTCATTTGCGATTAATGGCTTTGTGAGACCCAATATTTGTTTGAATTAATATTTATTTCTCTGTATTATCTGGTGAACTGTCCAAGTTAATCAAAATTGCTATTTGTGGGCACTGTGGTTAACGTATTTAGGAAAGGGGAAAGCAAGATGTGAACTGCAAATAAAAGCTAAGGAAAACATGGACGCTATCGAAGTGTGGTAGAAAAAGGTCTGCATAGCTAAGTTTCCAGCTGTTTCTAAGAATGTTCTGTAACTGATGGGTATTGTAGCTTTTATTTTCCTTCTGTGGGTACTTTTGAGGCCAAAAGGAAGGCAACACAATTTCAAGTGCTCTAATGGCCTTCTCTTTATTTAGTTTAGATCCTGGATTTAACAATATGCAGCAGCAGGTGGGGTGTGCCGGAAGGGTATGTCCTTTCAGGAGAGGAGTTTAGTTTCCTCCTTTCTTTATTTGCACTGCTGTTAATCATGCATTTCACTTGGAAAACCAATGCCCAGCATTATGCTGAGGAAAGGCCAGGACTGCTGAAGAACGTGCAGAATGTGCAGGCCAAAGGAGAGCCCCTGCAAACTGATCTGGATGCAAAGAGGAGAAGGCAAGTGAAAACACCATGAGCTACTGAAACATACACTCAACTGACTATATGATCAGAAGAGTTCTACTGAGAAACTGAATGTAAAGAAAAATAGGAATATATTGATGAGGCTCAACTGACTGTCTAATGAGGAGAGTTGTACTGAGAAACTGAATATAAAGAAAAATAGGAATATATTGATGAGGAAAAAGAACTAATTAAAAGCAAAGATCTTTTTTTTTTTCCCCCATTAGAGTCCAACTTGTGAGTCTAAGTTGGTCTAATGCTGATGTCCCCTGTGCAATGGACTCAGCACCCCAGTTTAATTAGGTTTGACTACCATGTACCTCTAGTTTAAGAAACCAGCTTACCGGGAGACACTTCAGGTATGACAGAGAAATCTTGGTGGGAGGAAATTCATATTTTCTTACTCCTCCCACTCAAAAATTACAAATGTAGCACAGAAAATACTGTTCCTTAATTATCATACACGGAGATGAGGATCTTAGAGCTTCATTAAAATGAAGCTCAGGCCAAAGGAGATATCGAAGATGAGAAGACTGTCTAATAAGGTTCAAATAGGATGCTAATAGGCTTTAGGGGAGACTGTTAATTAACATACCAGGGATCCAGCTGATATATCTGCCTGTGGATATTTTGGAAATTTTGCTTAGTAGATTAAGTTACCTGGAGTTTAATGCAAGCTCTTCAACCACTAGAACACTTGAAAACAAACATAAATTATTTGATATCTGACAATGACATACAATTAATGAGAAAGTCAATGTTATCTTTTAAAGCAATTGTTATTTTTTTTATAGCAAATTTCTGTTACAGCCTCATACTGAGCAGTTAGTAATGCATTCTGGCAATAGTACAGATAATTATATTCTAGTACAGAATTTTCATAATTCTTTCTCCTATATAGTATAGGACATATACATTATAATATATTGTTATATAATATACAGGAAATCTAGGAATAGCTTTGGAGAGTTGAATATATTTAAACATTTTTCATTATTAGGTTTTTTTTTAATAATCAGCTCAGTGTAATAGCAGAGAAAATTTTTCTTATACATATAAGGTGAAGTTCAGGAACAGAATCAACTGCAAAGAGTGGGTAAGATAAACTGCTTCACAGGCTATTGCTGATAATGATTTAGATGATTATTTACTTGGGCATTCCTTTTGTTAACAGGAAGTGCAAACAATATGCAGTATTGTGCATCTTACAAATCATGAAATACGTGTATATAAAAATCCGTGCATTTTCTTTTTAAAGTTGTTTTGTATATTCAAATAAGAATATTTCTGTGCAAATACCCTTATCTATCCTCAAATCTAGATTGTAATGAAGGATATATTTACTGCTATCAGTTTAACTCAGGCTTTCTGAGTTGCTGGGAAGTTCCTTTCTATCCTGATCATTTTGGGTCTTCCATCTTCCACTCTCCATCTATGAGAAGAATAGAGGTTCATGATCCATCTTCCCTCTTGGTTTTGGGGTAACTGTTACATAAATGGTTGGATACTGTTTAGCTTCTTTAGTTGCATAATGAGTGTCAGGATCTCATGAGAATTGTGTGCCGTTTTACCGTGTGTTCTTCATTATATAAGTCAAAATATCTATCTTATTCCTACAGTGAACTTTGAAGAGACACTAAGGAAAGTTGTGGATAGCACACAAATATCTAGCAGAATTTCAGCCTGGTCCTTGCCTCACTTTGTCCAGTGAGCAGCTTGAATGCATCAAATTGTTAAAATGCTCCTATTTTTCATGGCAGTTCCATGGCAGCTTTTTTTTTTATTTTTTAAATAACTTAAACACTTCTGAGTTAAGTCATATTTTTTCCCTATCAGTGATTTTAAGCAGGTAAAAGACTGTTTTCTGAATAAAACACACTTCAAAGCATAACTTCCCTTGGTACATCAGCTAATGACGCACCAGAAGGTTTTCCAAATCAAGAAAAGGTGACCTGGGGAGTTTCCAGTTGCTGATTAACACATAACTAATCTTCTGCCACAGAAAAATCAATTCTTTTTTCACAATTCCATGTTTGTACTTCAAGTGAGCTGAAAAAAAAAAGTTTTAGTTGGCTGGTTTAACGCTGTTTAAAATATTTAAAGCTGGCCTATTTAAGACTGCACGAAAGTATGCTGGATTCTTACTTTCCACTGATCTGTCAGTCTGCATTAGTTCTCAAACTGGCGAAGCAGATTAGATCATATGTTTTTGTATTAAAGTGTTGATATACAGCGCCTTGTTATTACAGCAATTTTATTAAAGGAGGTTACTGACCCCAAGGGGGGTCTTAATATATACTGTTATTTATGCACAGATGCTTCTGTCATTTAAAGAGCTTGTTAAATTTTATTTTAATACTGAAGTGACAAAATACTGGAATGGTCTGCCTTTTGGTGCTTGGTCTCGGTCATAAGACACCACAGAGGAAACATCCACAATTTTCAGGCTCACATAAATGGCTGTTATAACTTTAATTGAGTTAGTGCCTTGGAGGGAAGGAAGATTGCTCCCGTAACACGCACTTTCTTATCCTGCACTTAAGGGAACAAAAAAATCTCACTTTGCTCAGAAACTTCCTCTTGCTATGTGTGGTTTAACAAGCCCTAGTGGGGACTGTGGTACCATGCCCTGGTACTTGTGACAAAATGATGTGACGGAGAAAAGTTCTAATTTAAAAAATACACAAGCAGATCTCTTATTTATTCATTCAAAAGAAATAATCATAAGAAAACTAATGCCATGGCAATTTAAACATGAAACTACCTACAGTAGCAACTAACCTTCCTTCATGGTGCCAGAGAGTCAGAGTTTGTATGTGGCTTATGACCATTTTCCTGTTAGGTTTTGACTACTGCTTATATCAACATGTCCTGTATTAAACTGACTTACTGTTGCAATTTCATAATGAAATCCCTGCCTAAAGAGCTTAGAAGAAACCTAAACCTGTTGTTGACAGAAACAGTATACAGTTTGCGCCAGATGGTTGCAGGATGCATTGATTAAAGCTGAACTATTAATTCAACTCAACCTTGGTAAGTTAGCCCCAAACCAGCTCCAGCATGAACCCGTGTCCTCTTCACATGTTGTCTGTTGGCTTTCTCTGCTCATTACAGAAAGGGAGGGAGGTTTGGAAGGTTTGCTCTCCCTTGAAAGGTCGTGCTGGTAACAGGTATCATTATAATGTCTTTGGAAAATGCAAATTCTTCCTAGATCAAAATAGCCTACTCTGATGCAGTTTTAATGATCAGGCACTAATAGATGAGAGAAACTTAATCTCCTTTTCCCTTTGATCCTTGATATTTCTCTGTTTAAGAAAAATTCTGAGATGCATAACAGAATTTACTGGGTAGATGTCTGTGCTAAAGGTTCAGATTGGGTCCAAAGCCTTGTCCTAAATAGGGAAAGGTGTAGCCATTTTGCAGCAATGTAGCTCTTACTGATTGTTGCCAAAAAGGATGAGTCCCATTATGCCAGGTCATCCAAGCCCCTGCAGGTTAAACTTGTTTGTTTGCTTTAGGATGATGGTTATAAACTACTCAGTGTAATTTGTCCAGAATGAAATTGTAAAATAATAATAATAATAATAATAATAATAATAAATCTGTTCTACAGAATCAAGTTTAACATTAATTTTGATCAGGTGCATTAAGGTGGATTTCACCCTCATGTCACATTGTCTCAGCCTTATCCATGGTGAGTTTTGCCTTCAGCTATTGGAACAGAACTGATGGCTCCAGAAAGGCTGCACAGAGTAATCTCTTAGCTACAGTGGTAGATACTGTTCTTGGAGAGTGAGACACGTTTGAAAATGTGTAATGGTCTATATCAACAGGCTGGAGTCAAATCCAGGTTAGGACTTTAATATTTGGGCCTTCCTAAAGCAATGGGGGAACCTTGATAAACAGGAGAGAGTTATTAGCTCTCGTGATCAAAATAGGAAAATTCTTCTGAGATGGTTTTCTTCTTCCAGGTTCAATGCAAGTGATGAATAAAACAAGGCGGATTATGGAACATGGAGGTGCTCATTTCATCAATGCCTTCGTGACAACCCCCATGTGCTGCCCATCTCGCTCCTCTATTCTGACGGGGAAGTACGTGCACAACCACAACACCTACACGAACAACGAGAACTGCTCTTCTCCATCCTGGCAGGCTCAGCATGAAATACGTACGTTTGCTGTGTACCTCAACAACACGGGGTACAGAACAGGTAAGATCCAGGCTGGCTCTATCTGAAAGCTGCCTAGAAACTGCCATTGTTTATAAACTTTTAATTTGTTCTCACGGAGGACTGCAACAATGTAGAATGCCAGATGTTCATTTTATTTTTACTTGTAGAAATTAAGAAGAAAAAAACAACATCAGAGGGTGGGATGGTAAAGTTAGCATACCTGCTCTTGGAGCAGAGTACCTTGTTATATGATTGCACCCAAGATGCAGCACATGTAAAATATGCCCAGAAATTACCTGTAGTGAGTAGAACAGACAGGAAGGAAAATATAGAAAGGAATTATTTGATTTTTTTTTTATTTTATTTTTTGTAAAAAAGATATATGAATCAAACTAAGAACACAAGAGAGAGGACTGCTCCTTGCTCTGTGCTTTGGGGCAGAACTGTCAACTGGATTGGTTTCTCTAGAGAGTCCACTCCTAGCAAGGTGTTTAAGATATATCACAACTGGAGGGTAGTCTGCAAGATCAAATGCACTCCTGAGAAATAAATGATCCTCTTTATTCCTAAAGAGAATAGCATGCAAAGATTCTGTAAAAGGGATTTCATAAAATATGGAACTCTTTTTTTTTTTTTTCTTTATTTTTCCTTGTGTTCTCCAGATGCAAGATATAGGAGCTTGCCCATTATGGTATGTCTCTGTCACTTTGCTGTTGACACCTTTTGTCATGTTGAGAAACAGGCATAAGCCTGAATCTGTTCATGTTATTTATAGTGGGTACAGCATAGTATTATAATTGTTATTTATAGTATGTGTTTGTGCTTTGGATTTATGGTATATGATACTTGATCTTGATGAGGCTTCTAGAAACTAGTATGGATCTTAAACAATGTATTTACTGTTTAGTACAGTATTTAAATGGTATTTTTAACTACTGTTTTTTTTCTTTTGAGTCATTCACATGAGCTATGCCTATCATCAAAGCAAAAACTTGGTCTTTAAACAAATAGGTAGCTTCCTTGTTTTGTTTTTCTAAAATAAAGACCTGAAACAATTTGGAAAGGAATAAACAAGGGAAAGTGCACATACTTAATTATTTTATTGTTGTTTCCCACCATTTATGATTCTTGGCATTAATGCCAATGATCTTATAAACATCAAGGTTAATGTTTAATTCTTTATTGAGCATTTGTTTCGTGCTTACTTATACTTGTCTATTGTAATTGTTATATTTAGTGATTGTATTTTAAGCACCAGCAAGTGCCACTAAGTTTCACATCTATTGCAGGTGTCCTGCTGTTCACAGACCTTGTACATTAACTTAATAATTAGTTTTAGGCCCAAGATCTTAGTGACTCTATGTTCTTTAAGTGTGCCACTTTTTAATTTGAAAACAGAAGGTGCTGGAATACGCAGAAATAGTCCTTTTACAGGTATGGAGTAGGTTTCCAATCTTCAGGTGTAAATGATGAAATTAAACATATTTTATTATACAAATTTTAATGAAAACTGCCATTATTGGAGACTTCTATCCATTTCTGATCTCTGATTAAAGTCTAGAGTTTATTAATATGAAAGCATTGTCAGCAGTATGAAGGTATGTTTTACCTATTTTGTCCAAAGATCTGATCAGAATTACCTGCTTTATAAACATCAGGAAATTGTACTTTAGAAGCTTTGTGCACTCAGTTTCTCAGTTTTCAAAAGTAATCTGCTAAAGTGAATATTCTGGATGTTACAGATAGTTTCTCTCAGATGGGAACCTCCTTGAACATTATTACAGTGAACAAAAGAAGATCAAAAAGCCTAGGAGTTCATTTGTGGATGTTTTCAATATCAGCCTTTTCAGGCTTGCTTTGATATGCAGGTTCGCAACTCCGGAGTGAGGAGGCTATTATTTTGTGAGGGAGGTTGGATTTTTTAGGTTTTCATCTCTCAGGCTTCCTCCCTGTGTTTCCCTCATTTCTTTTCGTTCTCCTTTAAACACAAAGGAAGAAATGTTGCTCTCTTACTCCACCTTCCCTCGCCTTCTCTTTCTTGCCCCTCATTTCACACCTCCCTGCCTTTACCTCTGCTCCTTGATCTCCCTGCATTTTCCTGCTGTGTCAGAGGAGGATTCTGCTGTGATCATTCTATCTGCATCGTAGGATTTTTGACTTATCCTGTGGCAGTGGCTTTTCTGCCTTTGATTTGTACAGACTTGCCCGATTGCCAGATTTTGCTGCTGCTGCTGATACCTTTGGGAAAGGTGTGGATGATGTGGAGGCAGGAGGGGTCAATGTGCTGCAGGATTCTCCTGCACAATTTATTTGAAAGTAACAAATGCGAGAAGAGATAGAAGAGGTATGACTTTCCTGTAATTGCTCCCCGGTTTCAAGATTTATTGTCACTTTTTAAATTTTTTTTCAACCTTTGCATTTTAAAAAGTTTGATCTGCTTTGGGGTAGGCACTGGTCTAGGCAAAATAGAGGTGAAAATAAGAGATTGAGCTCAAGAGAAGCTCTATCATAGTTTTTTAATGGCCAGGATATTGGCCGTCATGCAGGAGGCTCACCGTCACTTTGTGTGTTCAATTAAAATTGCTATCAAGACAGTGCAAAGGTGACTTTTCCTTCCTCCATGGAAGCTGTTAAACTGTGGGTGTTACAGGTAGCCCTTCCTCAGCACCAAACTGTCTCACTGAAAAAAAATGCCAGTGTTGTGAACAGCGACTGGAAAGCTGAGCGCTCTGTACACAGGCGCTACGTGTAGGCACCAGATTCCTGATCTCAGTACGTTCAACAGTGAGACCTATTTTGAAGAGCTTCTCACATCCTTATCCTGTTAAAACATTATGGGAAATTATGCAAGAAGGACAACTTATGTAAACGTACCCAGTCAATTGATGAATTAATTGTTCGAAAAGTCCATGTAAGCTGCGTCTGAATCATTAGTGACTTAAAACAGTGGGCAGATTATTGGAGAGTAAGAGAAACAAAGAGATCCTGTGACAAACATTTCTGAATGTCAGAGGATTTCTCTGCCAAAGGTTCCTGGGTAAACATTTGCAGAAAGAATGCACTGTTTTCTGTGAATATACACAATATACACATCTCTTTCCATGGGACAGCTTTTCAAATGCTCAATGCATTGTTCCATGCTCCTGTCCTGCACCAACAAAAGCTGAGATGTTTTACTGAAGCACGATTTTAAACTTTTCTCTAGACGTTACTTAATGAGAAAAGCTTCTCCTTTCTGCCTGGCTGTCTGAATGATTAGGTCTTAAAATTGGGGACTGATTCCAGAATATTTTGTCAGCCTTATCTACAGTCAGGAAATGAAAAGACATGTTTATCTTATTAAATTCAACTGAATTAGGGATGGTGGGCCAAATTCAGCCTGGCAGAAGGAAGCATTTGTCTCAGTGAATCTTCTGTGAGAGTTCTGTTAATTTATACTAGGGCTTAAATTGGCTCAGTATGCCATAAATGCAGTACAAATCTTGGCCAGTTTACCATCCTCACTCCTATAGGGCATTTCCCTATGGTACCCCCGGCCTTTTCAGTTAAATGAACCTACTAACAAGGCAAACGCTACTTGTTGTGTGGGCAATGTCTCAATATCTCACTCTGCTGGTAAGCCCGGACTTGAATTACGTGAAAAATTAATAAATGCCATTTTGCACTATTCACATATTTTGAACCTAGAGAAAAGTCATTATGGGAGGTCTGTCTCTGCCATTATAAAAAATTTCCTGGGAATAAAAGTAATAATCATACTTAGCACTTCCACGGGGCTTTATATTAATTAACTAATTAATTCATTAAAATTCAGTGACAAGCTTCCATTTCCTCCCATTAATATTAGACTAAGAACATACAGTGGCCAACTGCATTCAAATAATTATTTTTCCACTTCACTGTCTGAGGTTTTGACATTTTACAGTGATTTTAACATTAAAAAGTAAGAAAGAGGAGAAAAGACTATTGGTAAATGTTTATTAAAGGAGGAATGAACCTGAAAAATATGTGACCAGATTTTAATGCTCAGATACATCGCATTAGAAAATTCTCAGAAAATCTGTTCCCTGCTTCAGATTTTTTTTCTCTCTATAGTTGCAATTGCTATTTTTGTTGCAGAAATATTTAAAGACTTAACTGAAGCAGATCTCTGTGTGTAATTGTGTGGTAGGGGACAATTGGTGACCTAAAGAGTCAAGGATGGGTAGAAGTGGAGGTGGAATAGTGAGGTACTTTCTGCAAAGCTGCATGAAGGCGAGCAGCAAAGTCAGGAAGAGAAACATCTCCATTCACACCCCAGTGCCCTGGCTGTTATATGCTCACTAACTAAAGCCTGCAAGATAGCCCATAGCCTGGTAAAACTTCCCTTAGAGTTTGAGATGAATGCATCCACCACAGAAATAAGCTATGCCTCTGGCTGCCTTCTTTCCAGCCGTATTTTTTTTGACTCTCACCTTCTCTCTCATTTTTTCCCATAAGTTTATCTGCTTTCAGTGTAAGAAGTAGACTGTGAAGAAAACCTCCTCGTTCCCTCCACCACATAAGGTACTGTGCTGGTAGGATGCCACCTCCAGCATTGGAATTGTAGTGGTTTTGTCACACTGATTGCTATCGTCATGCAACGATACATATCACTTCAAGCCAGAGCAATTCATAGCCTGGTAATTCTTCAGAAATAGGATTGTTGTCTCATATTCAAAATACCTAAAAGCTAAATAGAGTATCTGCACGTTTGCTTTTATAGAATGTCAGTCTTTTGCAAAAAAAAAATCTTTCAAAATGATCCAAGCAGTATAATTTGGGAATCTACTGTGTACCCTTTTCCTAAGCTGGTGTTTCCTGAGTGCCTGGAGGCATGAATGAGGTTGGTGGCCCACTTGATTATATGCTTGTCCGATACAGCAGTCCAGCAAAATTCAGTGATCAGTGGCCAGTGATCAGTGGATCTGCCAGGCTTGGTGATATAGCTGTGTGGTAGAAAAACAATAAGTTGCATGTTATTTTCTAATAAAGTGCATGGCAGAACAGTGATGATCTCA